CTATTTATCAATTCTAATGTTAAATAATAAGCCTAATAATGGACTCCAATGTTATTGGTTTTAATTTCAATTTGTCTTTCTTGGTTTCAAGAAAATTAATTGGTTGCGTATGTTACATTTTTATGATGGGACACCAAAATAGAAAAACACAAATTACATTTAACGTTTTCTTTATTATAAAAATAACAAATCCAGAAAAACTGGTGCCAATAATTCATTAAACAAATTTAAACAACTGAAACAGGTTACAACTTTTATTTTCCACAATTGCTGGGGATTTAGTTTTTTTGTTATGGAATGAACCATTTCCCAACTTTGATTCTCCCTTGTTGGCCAACGATAAAAATCCCCAGACTGTTCCATAAATTGGAGAAACACCTCATCCCCCTTGATTTCCAGGATCTGAAAAATATAATTATAAATTATAAATTGATGCTAATATTGAACTCAAAAGGGAAGCTAGCTTAAATTGCATTGCCTGTCAACAGTCTTATAAAAGTAGCAATGTACTTTTATTGTTTCTAAATTATAGGCTAAAATAAGATATTTTTAAACAAAGTACCACAGACTACATTTTATATTAGTAATAGAACCTGAAAAAGTGATTTACCGACGTTACACGGAAGCCAAGCATTAAATGTGAAATTACTGAAATATCCTTCGACGTACTTCACACAGCTCTCGTACGGTGAACATACACAGTGAATTTCAGTAACCAAGATAATTATCTTCCATCATATCGTCTGTTTTTTCATAACATAAATTTTTCTTTCAATTTATTAGGCATTTTTTAATGTATACTCACAATTCTTACCGACGTTACAGCTTTCACACCGGGCGGGACACAACAAGACCAAAGATGAAACAAATTCCGTATGCAGTCATCACGTGATTCCAAGTAAACAAAACTACCGGCAATGTCGTTAATATCTATTTCTAGTAACAAACGACCGCTTACAGCGATGGATGGGTGATCGAAGGAAGTAAATGTTTTACCGACGTTACAAATGAAAATAGGACACGAATAAATGTATCAATGAATGACCTTTGTGTTTTTTTCATTACATTATAATTTTGGCTTGTCATGCAAAGGTATATTCTTTAGAACGGCCGAATTCAACATTCTAAAATAACATTCGTAGGTTTATCGGGCCATTGCGGTTTCCAACACAAAAACATTTTTTTAATATTTGATGGACACAAAATGTAACGTGCGCAACCTCATAGTCAGATGAACGTAAAAAAAAAATCAACAAACAGGGGGGTGTCAAATATGGTTTTAAATGATGATTTGAACTATTATTTATTTCATTAAAAGTCAGCATGCTTCATTTCTTTGCCTGTAATACTTGCAATCATGGAATGAAAAGATTCAGATTTCCATGTCACAATTTTGCAAGTTGAAAATAACGAATTTTGACAATTGTTGATAGATAAAAAATTTAAAAAAATATTTACTGAACCAGTTTTATTTTCAATATTACAGCAGGTATTGGTGCATGGATGGAAAATAATGAAATATTTGAAATATCAAAATTTTAATTATAAATCGAATTTATATTAAAACATTCGAAAAGTGCCCAATACTGAAAAGTGACCCATATATGTCACATATCCTGATAGTATATAACACCTCAAATCAACATACATTGTATCCGATAACTTGTCTGTGATATATTTTCGGTGGAAGCCGAAGTTAAATAAAGATATTTCACACACACGCATATGGCACTTATATAGTTCAGTAATTAAAATGAAAGTACAAATCTTGCGAGACACGTGAAATTAAGAGATGTATACGTGCCGAATCCAATACGACTGATGTCCGGGAAAAGATTCTATTTTGATGGCATATTGTCGGATTATATGATCATATTTTGAAGGGGGTTTATGTCTTTAAATAAATAAAGAGATGTATACGTGCCGAATCCAATACGACTGATGTCCGGGAAAAGATTCTATTTCAGGGTTCCCGCGGTCCTTGAAAATCCTTGAATATCCTTAAATTTAAAATTTCATTTTCAAGGTCTTGAATATCCTTGAATTTCGCGGAAATAGGAAAATATCCTTGAATTTCAGTTGAGATCCTTAATTTTGTTTCAAATGTCTTGAATTCCTTTTAAATATAAGATTATAACGATAGTTGGTAATGTTTTGGTTATTTTTATAAGATGAAAAATTGTAACTTTAGGCTAAAAAATGTCCTTGAAAATCCTTGAATTTGACGTATATTTATCCTTGAATATCCTTGAAAAAATGTTTGACGAAGCCGCGGGAACCCTGTATTTTGATGGCATATTGTCGGATCTATGATCATAGTTTGAAGAGGGTTTATGTCTTTAAATAAATAAAGAGATGTATACGTGCCGAATCCAATACGACTGATGTCCGGGAAAAGATTCTATTTTGATGGCATATTGTCGGATTTATGATCATATTTTGAAGGGGGTTTATGTCTTTAAATAAATAAATAAACACGCTAAGAAATGTTGACGAATATTTCGATTGGAATGATGTAAGTAGTTAATTGTTTTAGACGATAGCGCGTGCTACAGTCGAATGCAATTATTTAGCAGTTGGTGTCACTCGCTCGTTGTATATGAGCGTCGTTAACTACGGTTTACGGCCAAATAAATTTCGGGATGTCATTTTTTTACCTTCCGTATATAAATCGAAACGGAGTATCAGACGAATGTCGGACTTTGCTGAAAAATGTACCGACGTATGACCCGAAAAATACGGTAATTTTGGGGGAGTTTGAAACAGATCGGCAGCAGTCGGCATGCTGCCATTCTATAGTATTACGATGTCATGTAATTTTGTAGGAATATTATTGACATAAATTTGAATACCGTACGGGTTTTAAACATGAAATATAACGAGGTGCACCTATTTTTTTTACATATGAATTTGAATATATTTTGTTGACACATGATTCTTTATTGTGTTTTGAAAACGTCTGCTTAAATTACGATAAGAGTTATGCCCCTTTATTTTCGGGAAAAAATGTCTGACAAGAAATTTTTTGAAATCCCATCACTGATCTGAAGCCTAAATAAAGACTTAAAATATGCTGATTTAGCTCTTGCATAATGCATGTATTATAAGGAACAGCATCTAAGAAATAACTTATCAGAGACCTGCCCTTCAGTATGGCCTCTTCCTGCCTGTGGTCAACTCCTGTGATCAACAATCTTTCCTCTGATATACTAGAGATTACTTGGTAACAATAAACAATAATTAATACTTTATATATTTAAACTTAATAATTTTTTATAGTTGTTAAGGAGTAGTATTTAATTGACATCCATTCATTCATTTGCTGAGGTGACTACATGGGCCTTGATTCTGTTATGTTCATTACTATTTGGTTTCGTATCCCCGATGGTGCGTGACAAGGAGTAGGGTTGCCTGTCCAACCTCGTGGGTTTTCTCCGGGTCCTCCAATTTCCTCCCACTGCTAAAGACCCCTACGTGCAAGCGAATTATTGAAATAAAATTAAAAAACATGTTAGTCCCGAAATGACCTAGTCTGTGTCGAGTGGACATTAAACCCCATTACTCTCTCTCTCTCTCTCTCTGTCATAGCTGACCATTGTTAACTTACTTTAGATAATCCATCTTGGGAGCCAAGTTGTGGTGTACGTCTACTCCCTAATATTGGGTGAATGGCTGTGTTAATTACTACCTGGTCATAGTCGATCTAGAGGTCACAATTATTATCCGTAATTTTGTCTAAGGTTGACTTTCATGAAAATTGGACCAAAATTGCCAGACAAAAAATGGCCGCAAATAGTGTAAACATCTGGTATATCAAAGTTGTGGACCCTCTAGAGGCCACAATTTTGATCTGATTTTGATGAAACTTGAAATTCAAGTTTATAACCCAAAGATCTCGGTTCCTTTCAATATTCGCACGTATCAAATCGTAACTTCCTGAATTATGGCCTATGGTTGTACGAAAAATCGCGTTTTTAGCTTGTGGTCCCTCTAGAGGTCACAATTATTATTCGATTTAAAAAAACTTTCGAATATGTCACCGTTACACCGTAATGTTTGTTGACTTCGAATTTCGTGAAAATCAGACCAGAAGCTAGACAAAATGGCCTGTATTTGTACGCAAATAGTGTAAACATCAGGTAGATCAAGGTTGTGGATCCTCTAGAGGTCGCAGTTTTGATCCGATTTTGATGAAAGTTGAAATACATGTTTATAACCCAAAGATCTTGGTTCCCTTCGATATTCGTGCGTATCTTCCTGAATTATGGCCCTTGAATGTACAAAAAGTCACGTTTTTAGCTTGCAGTGCATGTAGAGGTCACAATTTTTATGTGATTTAAAAGAAATTTCTTGTGAATATATCACCATTACACACTAAGATCTTGGTTCCTTTTGATAATCGCGTATATCCGAACGCAATTTCCTGGATTATGGCTCCTGATTGTTCGAAAAATCGCATTTTTAGCATGCAGATTCTCTAGAGGTCACAATTTTTTTTTTCCGATTTTAAAAACCATTTAAATATATCACTATTCCACCATAATGAAGGTTGAATTCGAATTTTGGGAAAATGGAAATGAAACTGCCCGACAAAATGGCCGCACTTTGTACGCAAATTGTGTAAAAGTATGCTACGAAGGTTGTGGACCCTCTAGAGGTCACAATTTTTATCCGCTTTTGATGAAACTTAAAACATATCTTTATATCCCAAAGATCTCAGTACCTTTTGATATTTGCGCATTTCAGACCATAACTTACTGGATTATTGCCCATAATTGTACAAAAAATCCTGTTTGTTTTTAGCTTTTTCTCTATCCATCTCTTGCAAAATGTGGGCGTATCCTGCCTAGCAGCCGCTGTTTAAAGAATGACTAAGAAGAAAAAAGATGTAACCAGCTGGGGTAGTTCTACATGTTTACTGGCAACAATAGGCTACTTAAAGCTCATTACGGTATCTCTTGTAATGTTTGGTTGATCATTTCTGTTTTCTTTATTTCCAGATATGCAAGTAATGCAGATCATTTGTGTACTGATGATTTATTACTGTTTTTAGAAGCAGAACAAGGGGTAGGTACTCCAAATAATGATAAACACCAAAATCTATGTACAAAACTGCTCCAGAAAAACTTGGTCTCATAAATTCTCTTTTCGGGTGGTGATACTCCCGCTTGAGCCACCGGACTATTATAAAAGCCTTTCATACATAATTCACCATTTTTATACGCCCACATAGAAATGTGGATGTATATTGCCGTTGCCCCAGTCCATCCGTCCGTTGTCCACAATTTCTTGTGAACGCTCTAACGCCAAAAGTTATCATCCAGTTGTTTTAAAATTGATGTATGTTGTTTACATTAGTGAGATGAAGAAGCCTATTTAATTTCAATAATTTCCGATTATTACGTCTAGAGTTATGGCCCTTGTTTCACTTTATTGAACTTTGTGAACGCTCCAATGACAAAAGTTAACATCCAATCTTTGCGAAATTTATATGCAATATTTAAATTAGGGAAACGAAAAAGTCTATTTAATTTCAGCAATTTCCGTTTATTACTTCTAGAGTTATGGCCCCTGTTTCACTTTGTTTAACCTTGTGAACGCTCCAACCCGAAAAGTTCAAGCATGCATGTTGTTAATGGAAGTTCCAAAAGCCGGAGATCCTCCCACGTCCAATATAGGTCAACCAAATTATCGGCAATAAAAGACAATATAAATCTGATGATCATACCTGCGCAGCAAAGAAAGACGATGGCAGAATAAAGAGTTTAATTCCCAAATCTATAGAAATTGTTTCAATTGTTTAATCCGAAATGCGTATTTCATAGCAAAAAAAACATTGCCATCAATTAAATTATGAACGATTTGACAGAACAGCAGGGACATGAAATGACAAAAAAATTATATCTTGATTTTAATTGTTATGTTGAAATTAGTTCTTTAATATCCAGTGAAATTGAGGAAAAGATCCTCTCAGATATCCAAACTAGTCCTGCTGGATTAAAGCCCGACAATTGTATATATATGGGTAACACTAAAAATAAACTAATATTTCCGAGTTCCGACTATACACGAAAACTGATTTGTGCTACTTTTTTATTTATATAATTTGTTATTTTTATACGCCCACATTTTCATGTGGACATATATTGTCGTCGCCCCTGTCTGTCTGTCCGTCCACAATTGTTTGTGAACAGTCTACAGGTCACAATTTTTATCCGATTTCAACGAAAACTTGAAATAAAGGTTTATCACCCTAAGATCTCGGTTCCTTTCGATATTGGCATGTATCGGACTGTCACTTCATGGATTATGGCCCCTGATTGTACGAAAAATCACGTTTTTAGCTTGTGAACACTGTAGAGGTCACAATTTTTACCCGATTGGTTTTAAACTTGAAATATATGCTTATAACCCAAAGATCTTGGTTCCTTTCGATATCTGCGCATATCGGAACGTACTTCCTGAATTATGGCCCCTGATTGTAAGAAAAATCACGTTTTTAGCTTGTGGACCCTATAGAGGTCATAATTTTTATCCGATTTAAAAAACAGTATTATTATATCACCGTTACACCCCAAGGACGACTGAGTTCGAATTTCGTGAAAATCGGCCCAAAACTGACAGACAAAATGGCCGCCCTTCGTTTTCAAATAGCGTAAAAATATGGTATATCAAGGTTGTGGACCCTATAGAGGTCACAATTTTTATTCGATTTTGATGAAACTTGAAATGTAAGTTTATAACCCAAAGATCTCGGTCCCTTTCAATATTCGCGCATATCGAATTGTAATTTGCTGATCTATGGCCCTTGATTGCAGGAAAAATCTTTTTTTTTCCATCTGTCGAAAATGTGGGCGTATCCTGCCTGGCAGCCGCTGGTTTCAATTTGTAGAACCTTGTGATTATGAGCTGATTTACTCAGGCCTGGAAATGTTTAAAATACCTGTCGCTTCAGTAAATAACCTGTCACTCTCAATTATCAAAGACCAATCACGTGACACATATCCATATATATGTAGGTACACACACACACACACACACACACACACACACTCTTAAATTGTTTAGGTCTTGACGTACATTGCTCCATATCCGCCAAGTATCATGGTACCAAACTTGCGTACTAAATCGAATACTTCGCCATTGAGGTGTAGAATTCAGATTTTAAAATATCCGTAATACATTGATTATCAAAACATGAATCACACCCGTGCATGGTACCGTATTTACATGTACTGCATGCAGAGGACAAGTAACGCCCCCTGGAATTCCTTTCTCACATATCCTGTCTATATTTACACTACAAATTATATTTATATATGAAATATTTTTCCATCTAATTATTTGATTTTGTAAATTTTCTTATAAATTATTAATAGCCATTATTTATGGAAATTGTTTTAAACTTTTTAAATGATTAAATACACCAGACAACGAGCTGTGTGCATTTCCATTCCAGCTACAACTATATTTACCGTTTTAGATGACCTGGGGGTGCGTTTTAATTTATTTAGATATAATACTTCATAATTCTATAAACTAGTGTCAAGCAGATGAAAACAAGCGTAGATTGTGTGAAATTCATTGTTATAAAATTGTCTACTTCCAAACTGTGTAACTGTTGCCTACGATAGAGCGAAATGTAAACAGTGCAAATGACAGCTTTAAATTTCGCGGTATATCCGTGCTTAATTCTTGCATTTTACTTGCTAGCTGTCAGACGAAAAAATCGCCTTTCGGCGACAAGTAGACATGCGAACATTTTGAACCATGATTTACTGCATAACTTTCCTTTACGATTTAACGATTAAATGGATAATCAAGACTATGCTGTTTATCGTACTGACTTTAATAATTGGTAATGATGATCAAGGCTAGACGGAAATTTCAAACGCTTAGTTCTCGGTTCATAGTGGATCAATTTGAATGAAATTTTCAGCAAATTGCCTTTACATTATCTAGTTTTTATACGCCCATATGGAAATGTGGTCGTATATTGCCGTCGCCCCCATCCGTCCGTCCGTCCGTCCATCGTCCACAATTTCTTGTGAACACTCTACAGACTACATTTATCATCTGATTTTTTTAAAATTGATATATGTTGTTTGCATTAGTGAGATGAAGAAGCCTATTTAATTTCAATAACTTCCGTTAATTTCTTCTGGAGTTATGGCCCTTGTGAACGCTCTAACGACAAAAGTTATTATCCGATCTGTATGAAATTTATATGCATCATTTAAATTGGTAAAACAATGAAGCCTATTGAATTTCAGTAATTTCCGTTAATTACATCTAGAGTTATGGTTAGGGCTGGGTATCGATAGTGATTTTTACTATCGATAATCGGCAATGAAATGTCGGTTGATAATCGATAGTATCAAAAACAACCTTATTTTCACGGTCGTCATCAAGACTGGATACAGTGTAAGTTCAAAGTTCAAAACCATACGAAGTTGCGAAAGATCGTTTGATTTATTTGGAAAACATTAATAAAACTTGTTATATTACGTATATACGTAAATTGATGTTGTTTATTATTAAAATAATGCAGCCGTGGTTCCGAATGAAGAAATATCGTAAATAATTATGTTAAGGGACCAAAATGAACTTGTTCCGATTGAAAACATTGCGTACGTGCGCGCAAAAATGTCAATATGGCAGACTAATTCTGAAGCTTGCAAAGGGAAATAACTCTAACTTTATTTACACATCCGGGTATCTCCGATTTAGCGATATTCAACAATAATTTCTTCAAAACTAAAGTAACGTTTCAATGAGAGTGAATTTATGAAAACGGCTGTTCAATAAGCAGTCACAATTTTGTTACGTGTTACATTGATACTTGATAGTAATTAAAGTGAGTGGTGTATTATGATTAACTGAAAGAAAACATTGACATTTCAGACGCAAGAAAAATAGACGAAGAGCGATAATCGATAGTAACCCACCGCTATCGATAGTGCTTTTCTGGGCCGTCCAATCGATACTATCGATTTATATCGATATTTTACCCAGCCCTAGTTATGGTCCTTGTTTCACTTTGTTGAATCTTGTGAACGCTCTAATGACAACAATTACCATCCGATCTGTTTGAAATTGATATGCATCATTTAGATTAGTGAAAGGAAGAAGCCTATTGAATTCCAGCAATTTCCATTAATTACGCCGTGAGTTATGACCCTTGTTTCACTTTGTTGTATCTTGTGAATGCTATAACGGCAAAAGTTATTATCCGATCTGTATGAAATTTATATGCATCATTTAAATCAGTAAAACAAAGAAGCCTATTGAATTTCAGCAATTTCCGTTAATTACATCTAGAGTTATGGCCCTTGTTTCACTTTGTTGAACCTTGTGAATGCTCTAACGACAAAAGTTATTATCCGATCTGTATGAAATTTATATGTATTGTTTAAATTAGTAAAAGGAACAAGCCTATTGAGTTTCAGCAAATTTCTGTTAATTACATCTAGAGTTATGGCCCTTGTTTAACTTTGTTGAATCTTGAGAACGCTTGAACAACAAAAGTTATCACCTAATCTGTACGAAATTCATATGGATCATTTGAATTAGTAAAATGAAGACGCCTATTGAATGTCAGCAATTTCCGTCAATTAGTTTTAGAGTTATGGCCCTTGTTTTACTTTGTTGAACGATCGAACGGCAAAAGTTATCATCCGATCTGTATGAAATTTATATGCATTATTTGAATTAGTAAAACGAAAAAGCCTTTCGAATTTCAACAATTTCTGTAGATTACTTCCAGAGTTATGGCCCTTGTTTTAGTTTTTAGAACCTTGTGAACCCTCAAAAGATGTCATCTGTATGAAATTGTCTATTAAATTCCCCTAATCACCTACAAAAGAATAATTATGCCACAACCCTTGTCAACTGCTTGGACGATTTAGCTGCTGTGGGCGTATGTTTTGTTGCTTGGCAACCTATCTTTAACTATTATAGTGAGAACTGCCAACTTATTATCAAATCTCCCATAATGTATCTTTAAGGTCATGAAACAAACAATCGAAACAAATTCTAATGATTTCTGATAATTACTTAAAGCGTTGTTACTTGTAATCAGATTTTAGTGTGTTGTAAATATTATCGTTACTGACAATATTATCGTTATCGTTAGCTGCTGTGGGCATATGTTTTGTTGCCTGGCATCTAACCATTTTTTTAGCGGGTTCTCTGTTCATCTATTGCAAAATGTGGGTGTATGTCGCTTGACAACCGCTTGTTGATTCTGCAATATATGTTCTGATTATAAATCTAGTTCAAATGTGAATCGTATCAATGGGTTATGTCTGTGCTGAGCATTCCAAAGACTCTTGTAATTACAAACCTCAGGGAAAAATAAAATCTCTTCAAATAATTTCTCTGTTTAAACATAATGCATTCTTCTTTTGGAGAATATTTATTATCTTTGTTTTCTGATGTTCTTGGTATATATAATGTTGCTTGTATATAATGAGTTATGTTAAGTTTTTATCTTATCAGATGCAACGAGTAACCAAAGAAAGATGTATGGAAATTATATCAAGATTTGAACCAACAAAAGAAGGTCGAGAGAAAGGTCATCTGGGTATTGATGGTAAGCTACACCCAGCCTAAATTTGTTTTATGAAATTAAGTTGAATTTATTTCTAAACATCAAAAAATCAATAAAGAAAAATAATATTTACAGCAAACTTTACCTATATCATAAAGCTTACTAATTATTAACTCCATATTTAAATAATGTCTATTTTCTGATTTTAAGACACACGCATTTATACTTCAGTGGTAGCATGATAATATATAAACAAATTAAACCCACAAAAAAGACAAATATATAAATAAATGCAGCCCGACAAACATAGGCGTAGGAGCTCAAAGTAATCCAGGGGGGGCATAAGAGAAAATTGCCCGAAATCAATACCGTTTTTTCGGGCATACATATCATAAGAGAGCTTCGGGCATATTTTCAGGCATGCAGTGGACAAGAAAAAGACGAAATAAGTTAGTTATATTTTTTCTCTAAACGTTAATAGAAAAAAAAGGTCGTCGAATTTTTCATTGCCTGAAAATATGGGTACAAAATATAAAACACAGAGTATTCATCAAGAAATGAAATACATATAAGAAGGAACATATGTAACTACAGCACGTATAAATCCATGTATAAAGACCTACACTTAACAAAGACCGATCTGCGTAAAACACATGGTCAAACAAGAAATCGCACAGTAAATTGGATTTAACACCTACGCGTCAGATAAAGCCTGTTAGTCCTTGATAAAACACCTTTGGTGCAGTTATAACACGCTTTCGAGAAAACTCACCAAACAAAGAATACACACCGTGTCAGTCGTTTTTAACCCGTTCGTTAATTAACACACCGGTACAGAAAACGCACCGTCGCCGAGATTTTCACCCCTAGCGATAATTATATCACCACTCAGTCAATTTCTCACCCCTGTTAATTAACACACCGTACCTACAGATTTTAGCCTCTTCGTATTAGATTTGTTGCGATAATTAGAATTTTACCGATATTCATAGAAATTTACCAAATCGGGAGATATCTATGCCCTAAACGTACAAATAACACTCTTACTACTTCTCAGTGTAAACCACAAGAATAGGGCAGAACTAGAAGCCAAACAAATTCTAATGATTTCTGATAATTCTGATTTGACTATATTGTAAATATTTCATTATTGACCAAAGAAAAAATATGAGACACAACAACCCAAGTTGAATGTCTGAACAACGTAGTGTATGGCCGTATGTTTTGTTGTCTGACAACCTATCTTTGAAGTAAAATGATATTTACAAACTTGTTTTTTCGATTTTAAAAATTGCATTGACAACATTTTCTATTTCTGTTAGTGATTTTGCAATGGCAGATGGGAGGCATGCTTTTCACTGTCTGACAATCATTTCGACATGACATTGCTTTCTGTTCTTGGTTGAATATTACTCAAACAGTATTATTTTATATAAAAAGCTATATTTAGACGAATAAATTATGATATTTTTAGGTTTTACAGCCTATCTTTTATCGGAAGAATGTGATATTTTTGATGAGGAGCATAAAGAAGTTTGTCAAGATATGACCCAATCTTTTACCCATTATTTCATTTCTACATCTCACAATACGTAAGTATCTGTCATCTTCAGCTCATTGTTTATTTTTGGATGTTAATTCTCTCTTCTATCACACCATTTAGGTGTTGTACATAAAGCAGGGTATGCTAACTCTTTAAAGAACAGCAATACCTCTTCATTTGGAAAGTTCACATTGGTAAACAAATTGTTGTAACTACTGTTGTATTTATTATTCAGAATTCCCGGATTTTTTTTATTTAAACAATTGATTCAACATTTATAAACATTTTCAATAAGAACATTTGGCCAGTATTAGATATTAAACAGGAATTATGTTCATTTATTATCTTTCTTTTTCATTTCAGCTACTTATTAGAGGATCAGTTAAAGGGACCGTCTAGTGTAGATGGTTATATCTCGGCACTTAAAAAAGGCTGTCGTTGTCTAGAATGTGAGTTTTATACCTTTACACTCAAGCCATTAAACTCTTTTTGGATATGAACTGCAATCTAACAAGCTAAAGCTCACAGACCTGTCATATATTTACAAATGGGGATCTGATAAAAAAAGTAAAAATTCCTGATTTAAGGGTTATACTTATACCTTGTCATTCTATGATATAACTGGCACTTACTAATTTCCAGGCAGGATCATAGTTAGAATCCTAAATTGCTTGTACAAGTGTAATATTGTCTATATTATAGCAATATTTCAAATACATATTAAATACATGAAAAATGCTTTATGTTTTCAATTATTAAAGCACTTACAAAATAATTTATATTTGTAAACTTTATAACGTAGCTTCATGAAACATACATTATGCAAGAGCCAAATCTGTCTATTGCATTGCAGGTCTTTCTTTAGGCCTGAAATGTTATCTAAATTATTAATTAGACATTAATTAACCTATCCAGACCATAATCATCTCTAGATGGCATCGATTTTAGTGGATTGTGAGCCGATTTACTGCATAACTTTCCTTCACGATTTAACTATTAAATGAATAATCGAGACTAGGCTGTTTATCGTACTGACTTTAGTAATGATGATCAAGGCTAGCAGGAAATTTCAACCGCTTAGTTCTCGGTTCATAGTGGAACAATTTAAATGAAATTTTCAGCAAATTGCCTTTACATTATCTAGTTTTTAAACGCCCACATTGAAATGTGGTCGTATATTGTTGTCGCCCCCGTCCGTCCGTTCGTCCATCCGTCCGGCGGTCTGGCGTCCACAAGCTCTATAGGCTAAAGTTAATATCCGATTGACTTTAAATTGATACACAGTGTTTAAGGTCATGAGATGAAGAATCCTATTGATTTTCAGCAATTTCCGATAATTTTTGCCAGAGTTATGGCCCTTGATCACTTAAAAAAATCTTGTGGACGCTCTAGAGGCCAAAGTTAATATACGATTGACTCTAAATTTATACACAGTGTTTAAGGTCATGAGACGACGAAGCCTATTGATTTTCAGCGATTTCCGATAATTACTGCCAGAGTTATGGCCCTTGAACACTACAAAAAATCTTGTGGACACTCTAGAGGCTAAAGTTAATATTCGATTGACTTTAAATTTATACACAGTGTTAAAGGTCATGAGACGAAGAATCCTATTTGAAATCATTTTGAAAAATCTTGTTGACGCTCTAGAGGTCAAAAGTTAATATCCGATTGACTTTAAATTTATACACAGTGTTAAAGGTCATGAGACGAAGAATCCTATTGATTTTCAGCCATTTCCGATACTTTTTGCCTGAGTTATGGCCCTTGATCATTTTGAAAAATCTTGTCGACGCTCTAGAGGTCAAAAGTTAATATCCGATTGACTTTAAATTTATACACAGTGTTTAAGGTCATGAGTCGAAGAATCCTATTGATTTTCAGCGATTTCCGATAATTTTTGCCTGAGTTATGGCCCTTGATCACTTTGAAAAATCTTGTGGACGCTCTAGAGCAGTGCTTCTCAACCTTTATGATACAATTCCTCACTTGAGAAATATTTTCTTCGCTATTCACCCCTGGCACTATAAAACATCAAATTACTAAAAACTAAAAACTGAAACATGCTAATTAGGTGAGTGATACTGCAGAGGTAATAATGCACAATCGCACAATACAGTGCTTATTGTCACACTGACACGAATAAACTGAAAATTGAGCAACCAATACTAAAGACAAGTGATTGAAATTAAATTGGAAATCCCATTCAGGCCGTGCAGAGTTTGGGTGTAAAAAGAAACTAAGCGATCGACGATCGATCCTACCTAGCTGCCTATAGTCTATTTCACATTGAGATGAGACTAGGTTACCCACTTCCCGGACAATCAACAGTACAGCGGGATAGGATAAGCGCCATTATACTCAGCGTCGAAATTAATTGTGCTAGTCAGTCATTTAGTTTCCAACCAATGGCTACGTGGGTTTGTGGTCGGTAACATTCTGACTGATGGTTCCCGGTCAGGAGTCTGAAAACTCAATTCATGCAAATTCCCCCCTATTCACAAAATTCACCCCTTTGTGTATAATTCACCCCCAATTCCCCCTTTTTCCAAATTTCACCCCCGAGCATTTCGAATTCACCCCTGGGGGTGCACATGGACCCCTGTTGAGAAGCACTGCTCTAGAGGCTAAAGTTAATATCCGATTGACTTTAAATTTATACACAGTGTTTAAGGTCATGAGGCAAAGAAGCCTATTGATTTTCAGCAATTTCCGATAATTACTGTCAGAGTTATGGCCCTTGATCACTTTGAAAAATCTTGTGGACGCTCTAGAGGTCAAAGTTAATATTCGATTGACTTTAAATTAAATTTATACACAGTGTTTAAGGTCATGAGACGAAGAATCCTATTGATTTTCAGCGATTTCCGATAATTTTTATACGCCCACATCTTTATGTGGACGTATATTGTCGTCCGTCCGTCCGTCCGTCCATCCACAATTGTTTGTGAACAGTCTACAGGTCACAATTTATATCTGATTTCAACGAAACTTGAAATATAGGTTTATCACCCTAAGATCTCGGTTCCTTTCGATATTGGCATGTATCGGACTGTAACTTCATGGATTATGGCCCCTGATTGTACGAAAAATCACATTTTTAGCTTGTGAACACTGTAGAGATCACAATTTTTATCCGATTTGGTTTAAACTTGAAATGTATGCTTATAACCCAAAGATCTCGGTTCCTTTCGATATTCGCGCATATCGGAACGTAACTTCCTGAATTATGGCCCCTGATTGTACGAAAAATCGCGTTTTTAGCTTGTGGACCCTATAGAGGTCATAATTTTTATCCGATTTAAAAAAACGTATTATTATATAACGTTACACTCCAAGGGCGACTGAGTTCGATTTTTGTGAAAATCGGACGAAAACTGACAGACAAAATGGCCGCCCTTCATTCTCAAATAGCATAAAAATATGGTATATCAAGGTTGTGGACCCTATAGAGGTCACAATTTTTATCTGATTTTGTTGAAACTTGAAATGTTAGTTTATAACCCAAAGATCTCGGTTCCTTTCTTATGATATGCGCGCATATTGGACTAACTTCCTGAATTATGGCCCCTGATTGTACGAAAAATCGCATTTTTAGGCTGTGGACCCTATAGAAATCATAATTTTTATCCGATTTAAAAAAACGTATTACTATATCACCGTTACACCCTAAGGACGACTGAGTTCGAATTTCGTGAAAATCGGCCCAAAATTGACAGACAAAATGGACACCGTTTGTTCTCAACTAGCGTAAAAATATGGTATATCATGGTTGTGGACCCTATAGAGGTCACACTTTTTATTCGATTTTGTTGAAACTTGAAATGTAAGTTTATAACCCAAAGATCTAGCTTAAAAATATAGTCTGGACGCTCAGTGCGGCGGGGTGTCCATCATATGGGCACAAAACCAGACCCAACTTTTCTAGAGTAAAATTTTGCGTAGAATACGATGCCGAGTGGTAATCAGTCCGCCGTTGGGGCATTTTCGAGATATTCGGGGTCAAAGGTCAAATGGGTTCATTTGCACTGAAAGTGAATGTGCGGTCATTCTTGTATCATGAAAATAAGCTGAAAATGATCGAAAGTAATCACACTTTCAATAAAAATGTAAACTTGCTAAATTCACCATTGTTCTTTGTGACCCCAGAGGTGAAAAGGTCAAATTTTCCATTTTAGCACTAGGAAGATTTAAAGTAATAAATCTCAGCGTAAAATATAAAATCTAAAGCGAAACCTGTTCTAATTAATAATAGGAACATTTAAAATTTATCTTTAGGTGGTCTTAGTACCGAACTTTAACTCTCAAACGTCAAAAATGAACTTGCATAATAGAACCAAAACGCTTCGGAACCTTTTTCAAAAATACATAAAAACTGTTAAAGCAAAATCTCTCCGAATTAGTTTTACAACGAATGCTATACATAATGATACTACTATTAGTTGTCTGAAAAAACAATTGGATAGTTTCATGGCTGGAGTTCAGTCTGCAGGCCGCGTCACAAAGCCTGCCAACATTTTCCCCGCTAACATTTACCAATACGACATATATATCCTGTGAACTACTATGTACAATGCATTCGTCGGTTTTATCTGCGTCCATGTTCCGGAGAACTTCATAAAAACTCATAAAAAATTTGCAAACTTTTAATCGTCGTCAGATACGTGTTTTCCTGTTACAGATTAACTTCGGTTTTCCTAGACTGGGATTCTCGGAAATCCACGCGGCCTGCAGGCTGGAGTCTAACACTGAAACTATTTCAGATAACTAGTATCGTTATGTATAACAATCGTTGTGAAAAAAAATCCGAGAGATTTCGATTTGACAGTTTTTACGTATTTTTGAAACAGGTTTCAAAGTCTGTTGGTTCTGTGATGCAAGATCATTTTCGACGTTCCAAAGTAAAAATTTGGTGCTAAGACCCCCTAAAGATAAATTTTAAATGTTCCTATTATTAATTAGAACATGTTTCACTTTAGTTTTTATATTTTACACCAAGATTTATTACTTTAAATCTTCCTAGTGCAAAAAAGGTAAATTTCACCTTTTGTCCTCCAGGGTCACTAAGGTGGATTTAGCAAGTTTACATTTTTATTGAAAGTGTGATTACTTTCGATCATTTTCAGCTTCTTTTCATAATACAAGAATGACTGCGCATTCACTTTCAGTGCAAATGAACTCATTTGACCTTTGACCCCGAATATCTCGAAAACGCCCCAACGGTGGACTGATTACCACTCGGCATCGTATTCTACGCAAAATTTTACTCTAGAAAAGTTGGGTCTGGTTTTGTGCCCATTTGATGGACCCACCCCCACCCCCCCCCCCCTGCGCTAAGCCTCCGGTCTAATACGGTATATCAAGGTTGTGGACCCTATAGAGGTCACACTTTTTATTCAATTTTGTTGAAACTTGAAATGTAAGTTTATAACCCAAAGATCTTGGTTCCTTTTGATATTCGCGCATATCGGAACTTAAGTTCCTGAATTATGGCCCCTGATTGCACGAAAAATCGTGTTTGTAGTTTGTGGACCCTATAGAGGTCATAATTTTTCTCCGATTTAAAAAACCGTATTATTATATCACCGTTACACCCTAAGGACAACTGAGTTCAAATTTCGTGAAAATCGACACATAATTGACAGACAAAATGGCCGCCCTTCATTCTCAACTAGCTTAAAAATATGGTATATCAAGGTTGTGGACCCTATAGAGGTTTAAAATTTTTATCCGATTTTGTTGAAACCTGAAATGTAAGTTTATATCCCAAAGATCTCGGTTCCTTTCGATATTCGTGCATATCAGACTGTATCTTCCTGAATTATGGCCCCTGATTGTACGAAAAATCGCGTTTTTAGCTTGTGGACCCTATAGAGGTCATAATTTTTATCTGATTTAAAAAAACGTATTATTATATCACCGTTACACCCTAAGGACGACCGAGTTCGTATGTCGTGGAAATCGGCCCAAAATTGACAGACAAAATGGCCGCCGTTCGTTCTCAAATAGCGTAAAAAGATGGTATATCACGGTTGTGGACTCTATAGAGGTCACAATTTTTATACGCCCACATTTTCATGTGGACGTATTATGCCGTCGCCCCTGTCCGTCCGTCCGTCCACAATTGTTTGTGGACTCTCTACAGGTCACAATTCTTATCCGATTTCGACGAAACTTGAAATATAGGTTTATCCCCAAAAGATCTCGGCTGCTTTCGATATTGGCATGTATCGGATCGAAACTTCATGGATTATGGCCACTGTTTGTACGAAAAATCACGTTTTTAGCTTGTGGACCCTATAGAGGTCACAATTTTTATCCGATTTTGTTGAAACTTTAAATGTAAGTTTATAACCCAAAGATCTCAGTTCCTTTCGATATTTGCGCATATCGGACAGTAACTTCCTGAATTATGGCCCCTGATTGTACGAAAAATCACGTTTTTAGCTTGTGGACCCTATAGAAGTCATAATTTTTATCCGATTTAAAAAACCGTTCTATTATATCACCGTTACACCCTAAAGATGACTGAGTTCAAATTTCGTGAAAATCGGCCCAAAATTGACAGACAAAATGGCCGCTGTTCGTTCCCAAATAGCGTAAGAATATGGTATATCAAGGTTGTGACGCCTATAGGGGTCACAATTTTTATCCGATTTTGTTGAAACTTGAAATGTAAGTTTATAACCCAAAGATCTCGGTTCCTTTCGATATTTGTGCATATCGGACCGTAACTTCCTGAATTATGGCCCCTGATTGTACGAAAAATCACGTTTTTAGCTTGTGGACCCTATAGAAGTCATAATTTTTATCCGATTTAAAAAAACATTCTATTATATCACCGTTACACCCTAAGGATGACTGAGTTTGAATTTCGTGATAATCAGCCCAAAATTGACAGACAAAATGGCCGCCATTCGTTCCCAAATAGCATAAGAATATGGTATATTAAGGTTGTGGACCCTATAGGGGTCACAATTTTTATCCGATTTTGTTGAAACTTGAAATGTAAGTTTATAACCCAAAGATCTCGGTTCCTTTCGATATTCGTGCATATCGGACTGTAACTTCCTGAATTATGACCCCTGATTGTACGAAAAATCACGTTTTTAGCTTGTGGACCCTATAGAAGTCATAATTTTTACCCGATTTAAAAAAACGTATTATTATATCACCGTTACACCCTAGGGACAACTGAATTCGAATTTCGTGAAAATCGGCCCAAAATTGACAGACAAAATGGCCGCCGTTCGTTCTCAAATAGCGTAAGAAAATGGTATATCAAGGTTGTAGACCCTATAGAGGTCACAATTTTTATCCGATTTTGTTGAAACTTGAAATGTAAATCTATAACCCAAAGATCTTGGTTCCTTTCGATATTCGCGCATATCGGACCGTAATTTCCTGAATTATGGCCCCTAATTGTACGAAAAATCGCGTTTTTAGCTTGTGGACCCTATAGAGGTCATAATTTTTATCCGATTTAAAAAAACGTATTATTATATCACCGTTACACCCTAAGGACAACTGAATTCGAATTTCGTGAAAATCGGCCCAAAATTGACAGACAAAATGGCCGCCGTTCGTTCTCAAATAGCGTAAGATAATGGTATATCAAGGTTGTGGACCCTATAGAGGTCACAATTTTTATCCGATTTTGTTGAAACTTGAAATGTAAATCTATAACCCAAAGATCTTGGTTCCTTTCGATATTCGCGCATATCGGACCGTAATTTCCTGAATTATGGCCCCTAATTGTACGAAAAATCGCGTTTTTAGCTTGTGGACCCTATAGAGGTCATAATTTTTATCCGATTTAAAAAAACGTATTATTATATCACCGTTACACCCTAAGGACAACTGAATTCGAATTTCGTGAAAATCGGCCCAAAATTGACAGACAAAATGGCCGCCGTTCGTTCTCAAATAGCGTAAGATAATGGTATATCAAGGTTGTGGACCCTATAGAGGTCACAATTTTTATCCGATTTTGTTGAAACTTGAAATGTAAGTCTATAACCCAAAGATCTCGGTTCCTTTCGATATTCGCGCGTATCGGACCGTAATTTTTTCTGAACTATGGCCCCTAATTGTACGAAAAATCGCGTTTTTAGCTTGTGGACCCTATAGAGGTCATAATTTTTATCCGATTTAAAAAAACATATTATTATATCACCGTTACACCCTAAGGACAACTGAGTTTGAATTTCATGAAAATCGGCCCAAAATTGACAGACAAAATGGCCGCCGTTCATTCTCAAATAGCGTAAAAATATGGTATATCAAGGTTGTGGACCCTATAGAGGTCACAATTTTTATCCGATTTTGTTGAAACTTGAACTATAAGTTTATAACCCAAAGATCTCGGTTCCTTTCAATATTTGCCCATATCGGACCGTAACTTCCTGAATTATGGCCCCTAATTGTACGAAAAATCATGTTTTTAGCTTGTGGACCCATTAGAGGTCATAATTTTTATCCGATTTAAAAAAACGTATTATTATATTACCGTTCCACCCTAAGGACAGTTGAGTTTGAATTTTATGAAAATCGCCCAAAATTGACAGACAAAATGGCCGCCGTTTGTTCTCAAATAGCGTAAAAATATGGTATATCAAGGTTGTGGGTGGACCCTATAGAGGTCACAATTTTTATCCGATTTTGTTGAAACTTGAAATGTAAGTTTATAACACAAAGATCTCAGTTCCTTTCGATATATGCGCATATCGAATTGTAATTTCCTGAATTATGGCCCTTGATTGTAGGAAAAATCACTTTCTTGTTAGCTTGTTCTCTATTCATCTCTCGAAAATGTGGGCGTATCCTGCCTGGCAGCCGCTGGTTATCCAATTTTGTTGAAACTTGAAATGTAAGTTTATAACACAAAGATCTCAGTTCCTTTCGATATTCGTGCATATCGAATTGTAATTTCCTGAATTCTTGTTGGCTTGTTCTCTATCCATCTCCCGAAAATGTGGGCGTATCCTGCCTGGCAGCCGCTGGTTGCCTGAGTTATGGCCCTTGATCACTTTGAAAAATCTTGTGGACGCTAAAGTTAATATCCGATTGACTTTAATTTTATACACGGTGTTTAAGGTCATGAGAAGAAGAAGCCTATTGATTTTCAGCAATTTCCGATAATTACTGTCAGAGTTATGGCCCTTGATCACTTTGAAAAATTTTGTGGACGCTCTGGAGGCTAAAGTTAATATCCGATTGACTTTCAATTTATACACAGTGTTTAAGGTCATGAGACGAAGAAACCTATTGATTTTCAGCGATTTCCGATAATTACTGTCAGAGTTATGGCCCTTGATCACTTTGAAAAATCTTGTTGTTGCTCTACAGGCTAAAGTTAATATCCGATTGACTTTAAATTTATACACATTGTTTAAGGTCATAAGATGAAGAATCCCAGTGATTTTCAGTGATTCCCGATAATTACTGTCAGAGTTATGGCCATCGATCACTTTGAAAAATCTTGTGGACGCTCTAGAGGCTAAAGTTAATATATGATTGACTTTAAATTTATACACAGTGTTTAAGGTCATGAGACGAAGACGCCTTGTGATTTTCAGAGATTTCTGATAATTACTGCCAGAGTTATGGCCCTTGATCACTTTGAAAAATCTTGTGGACGCTCTAGAGGCTAAAGTTAATATCCGATTGACTTTAAATTGATACACAGTGTTTAAGGTCATGAGACGAAGAATCCTTTTGATTTTCAGCGATTTCCGATAATTTTTGCCCGAGTTATAGCCCTTGATCACTTTGAAAAATCTTGTGGAGGCTCTAGAGGCTAAATTTAATATCCGATTTAAATTTATACACAGTGTTTAAGGTCACGAGACGAAAAGCCTATTGATTTTCAGCAATTTCCGATAATTACTGCCAGAGTTATGGCCCTTGATCACTACAAAAAATCTTGTGGACGCTCTAGAGGCTAAAGTTAATATCCGATTGATTTTAAATTGATACACAGTGTTTAAGGTCTTGAGACGAACAAGTATATTGATTTTCAATGAATCTTTATGACTTATTAAACAGCTAAATCCATGATGTTAAAAGTTTTGTATACTAAACGTTAGCATGGGGCAGAACTTTAGAAAAACCAAACAAATTCTAATGGTTTTCTGATAATTACTTAATGAGTTGTTACTCTTATTCAGATTTTAATGTATTATAAATGTTCCATTACCGAAAAAAGTAAAAATATGTGACAACTATTGTTGACTGCCTGGACGATATAGCTGCTGTGGGCGTATGTTTCTTTGCCTGGCAACCTATCTTTCTTTTTTTTTTTTTTGGTTGTTTCAGTGGATTGCTGGGACGGTCCAAATGACGAACCTATTATATACCATGGTCACACGTTAACTTCCAAAATATCTTTTCAAGCCGTCATAGAGGCCATTAATGAACATGCATTTTCAAAATCTGAGTATGTATTCTGACTAATATTTTATTTCTCTTTTATTTAATATTGATGAACAAGATAAGAAAAAGTGAATGTGATAATTAAAAATGTGCTGTTTCTCTCAAAACACTAATATGCCATTCAGACAGCCAAGTATAAGCTATGCAAGAGAATGTAGCAATTAAACACACTAGAGGGGAAACAAGCTTAATCCTGCTGTCTGGCCTGGTCACAGCTTATAGTGAATTACGCATATGTATACTCTACTTGGAATTGCACAAAATATAAAAAAATGATCAAGCCCCAAAAATAGCTAACATTTGTAAGTAAATTGTTCAGATGGCCAAGATAAGTCATCTCTGGGGAAAAAGCCTTCTCAAAGACAGATATCGAGAAGGCCTTTTTATACGCCCACATTGAAATGTGGTCGGATTTTGTTGTCGCCCCCGTCCGTCCGGCGTCCACGATTGTTTGTGGACGCTCTAGAGGCTAAAGTTAATATCCAATTGACTTTAAATTTATACACAGTGTTTAAGGGCATGAGACGAAGAAGCCTATTGATTTTCAGCGATTTCCGATAATTACTGCCAGAGTTATGGCCCTTAATCACTTCAAAAAATCTTGTGGACGCTCTAGAGGTCAAAGTTAATATCCGATTGATTTTAAATTTGTACACAGTGTTTAAGGTCATGAGACGAGGAAGCCTATTGATTTTCAACAATTTTCGATAATTACTGCCTGAGTTATGGCCCTTGATCACCTCAAAAAATCTTGTGGACGCTCTAGAGGTCAAAGTTAATATCCGATTGACTTATAATTTATATACAGTGTTTAAGGTCATGAGACGAAGAAGCCTATTCATTTTCAACAATTTTCGATAATGACTGCCTGAGTTATGGCCCTTGATCACGTCAAAAAATCTTGTGGACGCTCTAGAGGTCAAAGTTAATATCCGATTGACTTATAATTTATATACAGTGTTTAAGGTCATGAGACGAAGAAGCCTATTCATTTTCAACGATTTCTGACAATTACTGCCAGAGTTATGGCCCTTGATCACTTCAAAAAATCTTGTGGACGCTCTAGAGGTCAAAGTTAATATCCGATTGATTTTAAATTTGTACACAGTGTTTAAGGTCATGAGACGAAGAAGCATATTGATTTTCAACAATTTTCGATAATTACTGCCTGAGTCATGGCCCTTGATCACTTCAAAAAATCTTGTGGACGCTCTAGAGGTCAAAGTTAATATCCGATTGACTTTAAATTTGTACACGGTGTTTAAGGTCATGAGACGAAGAACCCTATTGATTTTCAACGATTTTCGATAATTACTGCCTGAGTTATGGCCCTTGATCACTTCAAAAAATCTTGTGGACTCTCTAGAGGTCAAAGTTAAGATTCGATTGAATTTAAATTTATACAAAGTGTTTAAGGTCATGAGACGAAGAAGCCTATTGATTTTCAGCGATTTCCAATAAATACTACCAGAGTTATGGCCCTTGATCACTTTGAAAAATCTTGTGGACGCTCTAGAGGCTAAAGTTAATATCCGATTGACTTTAAATTTATACACAGTGTTGAAGGTCATGAGACGAAGAAGCCTATTGATTTTCAGCGATTTCCGATAATTACTGCTAGAGTTATGGCCCTTGATCACTTTGAAAAATCTTGTGGACGCTCTAGAGGCTAAAGTTAATATTCAATTGACTTTAAATTTATACACAGTGTTTAAGGTCATGAGACGAAGAAGCCTATTGATTTTCAACGATTTCGGATAATTACTGCCAGAGTTATGGCCCTTGATCACTTTGAAAAATCTTGTGACGCTCTAGAGGCTAAAGTTATCATCCGATTGACTTCAGATTGATAACACAGTTTTTAAGGTCTTTAACGTTAGCATGGGACAGAACTTTATAAAAACCAAATAAATTCTAATGGTTTTTTGATAATTACTTAATGAGTTGTTACTCTTAATCAGATTTTAATGTATTATAAATGTTTCATTACCGAAAAAGGTCAAAATATGCGACAACTCTTGTTGACTGCCCGGATGATATAGCTGCTGTGGGCGTATGTTTCGTTGCCTGGCAACCTATCTTTGAACTGGTTTTTGCTCCACCTTTGCATTCAGAAAACAAAGTTAAGTCAGCTTATTATCAGTCATTCACTTTTTTAAACCAGCTGAAGAAGGTATGCTGTAAAAAGACAATTCGTTGGACACTATATCGAAATTATTCATGTTAGCCCTGAAATATGATCAACTTTTATCAGTAACGTTTATTAGTCCGATCCTTAATGTAAATCCGTCGGCTTTTTGGGTTGAAATCATGGAATAAGCTTTATTTTGAAGGTTTCGATGTGTAATGACAAAAAAACAAGACAATGTTGACATTTTTTCTGTGTAGGTCTTCATGGTACGGGAGGCCATTATCTGAGGGTAGCCATTTTCGATAATATTCCATCTTATTTTTGTTTATTGTCACCCTATTTATAATGTTATCGACATATCAACTGTGATTTGGCACTGTATTAGTATTCACAGGGGTCATAACTATATTTCAGATTTTTTTCCCATCACTTCATGAAGATATTCCGTCCAAGATGGCGGCTATTTTTAGCTCCAAAATGGGCAATATGAAGATTTTGTTTAAGAGTAGTGTTTGGTGTCAATATATATGTTTTCGGGGTCACAGATTCCATTTCTGACATTTACAAACTTGTAAAATGATCACATGTTTACATAATTAGCATATTTCCAAGATGGCTGCCATTTTTGGTGGGAAAATGAGACGATGTGAAGATTTTGATTAAGTAGTAGTCTTTGGTGTCAATATATTTGTTTTCGGGGTCGTAGATTCCTTTTCTGTCATTTATAACCTTGTAAATTGATCACATGTTCACATACTAGCATATTTCCAAGATGGCAGCAATTTTTGGCGGGAATTGGGACATGTCCAGATTTTGATTAAGTAGTAGTGTTTGATGTCAATATATATGCTTACTACAGGGGCGCAGAATTTTTCTGACATTTACAACTTTGTAAAATGATCACATGTTCACATATTTAGCATATTGCCAATATTGCTGCCACTTGTGGTGGAAAAATCGAACGATCTGCTGATTGTCTTTTGTGTCAATATATATGTTTTCGGTGGTGCAGATTCAATTTCTGACATATATAACTGTCTAAAATGATCAATGATCAATTTAGCATATTTTCAAGTCAGCAGAACATAAACGTATTATTATCATATATTTACTTGTCGTTGTTATTTACACGTTTCTGCGTCCAATTCAGCTATGTAGGCTATTAACTTGTAGCACATTCCTGAAAGCCGGTACCGTGTCGGACCGATTTGGTATATTATCCAACCATGGAAATTACTGATCCGAGATGACCACTGAGCTGATAGCACATTCCTGAAAGCCGGTACCGTGTCAGATTGATTTGGTATATTATCCAACGATGGAAATTACTGATCCGAGATGACCACTGAGCTGATATCGATTTTCCTGGAAAAGAAAAGGCTATTCATTTGGTCTTCTGGCATGAAGAGAGTGTAACGGCAGCGTGGGGCTTATGCCACATTGACAAGCGCCCATCATGCTCCTGCCACGATCACACCACGCGCTTTCTACACCCAGCGCGCTCAAGATCTGAATACGCGCACCATGTTCCGACCATAATCTTGCGGTTAGCAGTCAGACTGAGATACGTTCTCACCACAATCCCATGACGTGCCTACCAGACGTAAGCCACTTTTTTGCCACGCCTATAGTGACTGCGCCATGCTCACTCCGTTCTCATTCACTTTCAACGCAGGGAACAGCCAAACGTCGAACAATCAAGAACATTTTTTAGTTTCTCGATGTTTCCTCTTAGGATGCTAGCAGTGGTGGCACCAGCCGTCGGTAATTGAAGGGGCAAAGCTGGGGCAAAGTCCAAGGTTAAGGGGGCAAATGCACGAGCTTCAACAGGTTGCCGGAAATGCAGCCTGGCAGTATTTCAGGCACTGATCGATGAGGTAAAGTGTCAAATGAACGGACTTGCGAATCACGACGATGCCCACTAACGAGCGTCAAAGTAGGGAGTCCTCCCCCAGAAAATTTTGAAATATAGACTGCCGGAAATGCTGTCTTACAGTATTCTGTCAGGCACCGATCGTCGAGATAAATAGATCTGACCAGATACCGTCCGTCACCTGATCACTAGTTTACCCGACTAGAGAACAAAATGTCAAACGAATGGTGAAATGTATAAAAAAGTAGTCTAAACTCTTAAATTCAATAAAGAAACGCTTCAGTATTTAGTACATATAGGGTACATGTTCCATAGTCACAAAAAACAAAAACAAAACTGAATACAGAGAAGCAAGTAGGAAATGTAGACTGTCTCGAGGGACAGCCGTCATATCTTAGAAGGTGATAAAAAATCACAATAATAAGGGCGATGATAATCCAGATAAAATAATGTTAAAACCTTAAAAACCATAAGTTCTAGCGACTAATCGGAATTATTAAGTTATGTAATTGTACAATATATAATAATATATTAATATAATACCCCACACAAGAAATGCAAAACAGGTATGTTGAAGAAATCGTACTATGTAAATGATGGATAATGGCCTCAGACTGTCCATTATGTAAATAGAAAGAACAACTGAGGGGCGTTAGCCCCGAAGTTTTTCTTTGTATTTACATAATGGACAGTCTGAGGCTATTATCAGACTTAAAACATAGCACCATAGAGATACAAATAATGTATAGTTTTCTAAAACAACAAGCCATAAAATAATGGATATATTCTTAAAACAACATGCACATGCTCATGAATGCATGTGACAAAACACTCCAGTCATACAATGCAAGCATACACAGACAGTCCAAAATATTCTACATGGAGACCACATGTTTACAACACAGTCGAAAACAAATATTGACAATGAGAATATATGTGATAAGCATTTGGATACTGATTACATTGGTAATGTACTCCATATGGAAGATAATAGCCGTAA